AATTGAAAAGAAAATAAATATCACATTAATTATTTTCGAATAAATTATAATATGCATATAAAATATCCTGTAGTATTGAATAATCTCTCACGTTTATGTTCTTCGTTTCGTCGGCTACCTATCCTTTTTTTCCTCTTTCTTCTACATATGTTATGTACCCTTGCGATATTGATATACAATAGTAGGTTGTGTTTACAGTCAGTATCTAACAAGGGAAGAACATCCCTAAATGATAATTACTGATTTTGATGAAATTTTGTTTATCGTATGTAGTAGTTCTCAAAGAAACTATTCGGCAGGATTGTTTTTTATGGGTAATTGTTTCCATTGAAGGGGTGAGAATCGCCCTCAGAGATGCGGATAATATGTAAACACATTTGATCTAATATCTCGAAAATTATTAGAGACAGAGGAACGATGTAAATTGACGAATCTTGTATTTTTCAAAAAAAAGTTTGAAAAATAAGAAATAAAAGAAATTATAAACAACTTTGTATTTTTCAAATTTTATCGTTGAAAAATATTTTTCAAACTTTTTTTGGAACATCTAGAGTTTAGGTGTTAATTCTCGGAAGTTTACTTATAAAAAGAAAACTCTTTCGTTTTCATTTTTTTTTTTCTACTGCAATGTGAAAAACTTGTCCACAAAATAGAACAATCTTTAAAGTATTAAGAAGAAAACACGAGCACTGTAAAGTATCGATATTGAAACTAAAAAATTCTCTTTACAATATAAAATTGCTAAAAAAAACAAGGATGTATTGGTAGAAAAGGTTTAGACAAGAAGGTTGTATACCGTTACGTGCACGGTATAACAATGCATTGAGATCCACAATGGGAGGGATATAAAAATTGATACAACTTTATTATACTGAAACCGACATATAATTACAGTCGCATTTTTTAAACGTATAATTGAACACAGTGACGACCTTGTTCTACGAACAAGAAAAGTGCAATGTAGAAAGCTAGTGATTTGCATTTTCACGTTTAATCTTTTAAAAATCTTACCAACGGGGAAGAAACAAAATATATACACGGAATCATTTTTTTCCCCTCTGGAAATTGGAAGAACAAATTTTTTCTCAGTGTTTAGAATACATACGTATTGTGCAGAATAAAAATCGAAAATCAAGATGAAAAGTCTGTAGAGCAGGACCGATCTCCAAGTTGCTCTGTGTGAAGCAATCAGGAGAACATGAGCGAGGAGCGATATTGGAGCAGTAGACCACGCCTACTTGAGCAACGACCATATGGTGGGGGAACACTGTACGAATACTGTAGTGATCGCCCTGTCTATAACAGAGTGAGAACTATGCTTCGAAGATAGACACGTGGTGATAAAGGAATAGTTGATCAAAGCGATACAGCGAGGTCGTAAATTGAAGCATTAAACAACGACACCCATTGATATAGCCACACATCCAGGGCCGTGCGTTATTTGTAAATTGGCATTTAAAATTTCTTCTTACAATTTGTCATTTAAGATATGCGGTATTAAATCTCCGTCGCTTTCTGGCCAACAGTAATTTCCCTATTAGTAAAAATGGAAGAAGCAATTCCGAGTTGACATCGAACGGCTCTGAGCAAGGCTCGAACTCTTTATTTTTTGGCGCTCCGATTACGTGTACTTACTTTGATGTCTGACTGATTTTAAGACCTCGCTATATCGGTTCCACCGATTGTACCCGATGGAACGAAATACCTCAGGGACGTACCAACTAATGCCTACACTCTCACCACTATAGTTGTTCTTCACTCTATTTACGACAGTTGACGTCATTTGCTCCGGCCACTGCTCCCTAGCTCTGTTCGGAGCAAAAAAGAGCGCTCTTGCTGCCTGAGCGGTCCTGCTATAGAGCATTTATCTAATTTTTTTTTACATTTTTTTCTTCGTAACACGACGATTCAAAAATTTTAGTAATCAACTGTATCAACTTGTGGTTATAAAAAATAATGTCACTAATAGTATCGAAAATTAGAATAAAGAAATTTACACGTCACCTATGTTTCGCAACAGAAAGCTGGACAACTGAACCGTCCAGAAAAAAATGAGAATGGCAGCGATTTCTATTCGGTAAATAAATTAATCGAAACATAATTTGAAATACAAAATTAATCACAGGGAATTTCTTAATCTTGCGTTTTAAAAATGAAACGTTATATCGACAGCATGTCTTGAACAAACGAAGACAGAACACTGTTCAAGATCCATCGGAGAGATTTGTCATCCAAATTATCTGTTAAATAATTGGAAGTGTATATTTAAAACGTACAAACTGTATACAATACTTGAATGATGTTGGCGGGAATCGACCTAACCTATCTAAATATTTAAATATTCCATTACACAAAACATTAATGTTCAACGCGTATTTACAAGAACATACAAAAACACTTAATACTCGTTTCGGAAACTTCAAATACAGGCCGCTCTGCGCGGATCACGTTTAATTAGAACGGAAACATGAGCTTGCACTTGCAAGTACACAATGTTCTCGAGCGATCGAATAATGATCGCGAACGTTTTAACATTTCGAGGTAGAACTTTTTGTCCCGAAACAATTTTTAATTGCCTCTTCGAATGTCGACAATTATTTTAATCATATATCCACCGCATTTTACCATTACACGATGTTCCTTTTAAACCAATCGTGTATTGTTGCTTGATTGGCCTCTACCCACCGAAGGTTAGCTTCGGATTGTTCTATCGCTTGTTGCACTGTTCTTGTAGCACTTCCAAATTCTTCTTTATGCTCCTCGGTAAATTCTACCAGCTGCACATACAAACAAAATACACATATTGATGGAATTGAAACATAGCGTATGGCTTTTCTCGTATTCAAAATAACGTTATTCAATACGTACGTCTTTAAACTCGTATTTGGTGTTAATACCTCTCGTGGCTGTTTTTACAATGTTGTTGATAGTTAACAGTGATGAACCAAAACTGAAAGAAAGTGAGGATATAAATTCACTGGTAATTAATACTTGCCCATAAATTGATGTTTAAAAGGCATCAAAGAAAATGGTAAAATGGTGGTTTAAAATTATTAAGAACCTTTGTACGGCATGTAGAAAATTGAAATTAATTTTTAATTGTATTCCTATTCGAAAAGTCTAAATTTGTGGATAAAAGTAAAAAGTGACATTTATAAATTGTAGTCAAGGGGGGAAATGATACCGATATTTATTTTATCTTGCAATAACCTCGAAAAGCCCCGTAAAGGTCACGTTTATATTTTGAAATTATACTTTTAGTTATATACGACAGAACGTTATTCCATTATTTCGACTTATTTTGAGCCACAGAATCTCTCTACGGCTCACGTTATATGGAATCAAATAGATATTAATGACAATTTATTTCATTTTAGTAGATTTTTCACCGAATGGTATTTCAAGTTGTTTTCCATTTTTTTCTCCTAAAATTCCCTGCATTTCGCGAAATACCTCGTGTTTCCAAAACATTCGACGAAGTGAAAAACTTACTATTTTCGAAGTCGCGCCCATTTATTTCTAAAGAAGTCAAACGCCAACGGTTGTCCAATATCGTTTCTAGCAACAGCGCTAAAGACACGACTGCCATCTTGCTTCCTGATTCCCGAATTTTCCGTGATCGTCCAGTCCAAGTAACGACTAAGGAGCCACAATTCTCTGGTGCAACCGAGAGCGCGCAAAAGTAAATCCTTTTCAGAACCAACATTGGTCTCCAGATATCTTCGCCAAGCGAAGTCCCATTCAACTTGTCCACCAACTCGAATAGCCGTACAGTAGACAACCGACTTCAAATTTGGCGAAATTCTGAAAACGTACGAAAGTTACCTTGATAAATGTCATTTCCATAGCATCGTAAATTTCTACAATATCCTATTAACAGCACGGTAAACGACAATATTAGATCGGTGCAAAAAATTTGCTACACCTGTATAGAACTTCATTTCGAATAATTTTTCCGACTTTTCTTAATGAATAGTGTAGTATTTCTATGTAAAGCAATTAAAGTAAAATAAATTTTACAAAAGTATCTTTTTTCCTGTAACTGTTTAAACGATCTGTCCAATATATAACATAACAAAAACTCACGGATTATTTTGGTTTGGATTGGGCGTGTTGCGCCAATTATAAAACTGCTTCAGAGCGTTTTGCACGCAATCCTCGTGGCCAAAGTTACACGCCCAAGTTAACACGTCGATTCGAGTGAAAACCGTCAGTTGAGGATCCCCGGGACTATCCTTGAAGCCAACCTGTTTGTACACGTTGTCCAGCAGTTTCAAAACGTATATCTAAACAGAAAAAAGTATTATGGATCAGTGAAGTACGTTATTTGATTCAAATATACCGTCGTCCAAAAATTTAGACATGCATCGTATCATATGGTATACAAAATTAATGTACAATTAAGGCTTAACACCCTTACCATTGAAATTATTTTAAATTATAAAGTGTATCACAAAAGAAGGTTGTGAAAACATTTTACTTTACTTACCACCAAATCCATAAAACAATAAAAAGTAAGCTCTACTGAGCTCGAATTTTTCAATGGTAATGTCCATTCAGAAGTAAACAATTTCATTTCTCAGAAGTTATGAATTGTCACATGAAAATTTATTTTTTCAAAAATCATGTAGGTTTAATGCAATTGCATATTAAGTAGGCCCTCACGATGAGGGTTTTTAGTTTAATTAATCGATTAATCCAGGTGATCAAGGATTGCTAGTGACTCGAAGTCACGCAGCTATCGAGTGTGATACGATTGATTGTTTGGAAAAAGGCATGATGATGTTTAGGAATAGCAAGCAATCCGACGTTGCATTGCTTTAAGAACGGGAACACTGTTCCCAGAGGATTTGGCCACGTAGTGGAGAAGGCGAGGGTGCTTTCTGGTAAGAGGACTGTGAGAACCTTCGTCGAGTTGAAAAGTAAATAATAAAATTTATAACGCATATTTACTCGGAATTTGTCGTAGTTCGGCATATCGATCAGCATGTCGTCTAGGTAATGCATGGCAGTCAAAGCAGCCTTCCAAGGTAAATACTCAGTCTCGTGTGCTAAATACGACGTGACATCCAACGCAGTGCCGTAATCTAGTCTTCCAGCCCTAGCTAAATTGAGTGCATCGTCTATTAACTGAGCACGATTTATCGTTGAGATATCTCTAAACGAATCTTTCTGCAGTTGCTTGATTATCAGTCTCCAGTTCGTATTGTCGTAGTTGACTCTGTAATATCCTGAAAACAGTTTGTGAAGGAAATGGCTTAAGTTAGTTCTCCGATGTTCCAATTCGTCTTATCTCTTTCACCGAATATTTCACGAAAGTCTTCTAACTTCTGTGACTTTGTGATAAAATTCTGTTTTCAGTACTAAAGACGTGCCCTTTACTTTTACTCTCATACAGGATGTTCTGAGTTTTCCAAACAATAAAGGGAAACATAACGTACAAGTGAAAATACGAAAAAATGATTTGAAAATATGAAAAATATCAAATTTGACTGTACATGTTTGGCTACAAAGTTATAAGCAAATATCGAATGCAACGTGAAATAAACAAGTAACGTCAGATTTATCCGTTAACGAGGAATACGCTCACGAGCCATTCCACGTCAAATTGCACCAGGGTGTCTTAGTTTTTTCCGATCAAACTTTGTCTATATATTCCATGGGTATAAGTAAGATAAAAATGTTATACAAACATAGGTCGTTTGAAGCTTCGTTAAAAAGTTATGACGAAAATACAAAATACAAAACCGGGACACCCGGTATATGCATTCCATACTGCGTTATTCTTACCAGTTTCTTGAATATTAAAGATCACCCATTCCGCAGGATTTAGGTTCATATTTGACAGCGTGATAGATTGCACGGCTGACATCCATTCAGATGGTTGAGTTGTGTTAAAATCTAATTTACTTGCAGATGTATACGTGATCGGTATCCACCACAGTGGATCGAACTGGGATGTAGTTACTATAGTGCCGTTACGAAGTGAGAAACGCTCCTGAAACGAAGGTACAATAAACAGTGGTGCACGAAAGATTCACCGATTCATTATTATCGTTTCATTTGTAACGCACTTGCATCAACATCACCGCGCCAGTTTTATAATTTCGTGTAACTGTGACTACTGGGAAACCGGTCTGCAGAGTCCAAGTGTCCATTATTTCCTTTACCGTTACCCCAGAGTCGAGGACTTTATCCTTGTGCGCTTGCTTCGTCAAAGCATCCCATAGATCATTTTGTTCCGCGCTCTGATACGCCCTGTTACGAAAATATAGATCATGATTTATGAATAATAATTGAAGGATAAGAATATAACGTAGGCTAATAAAAGTAAGCTAAGATAACTGCCACTTTGAAATTGAAATTTTTGATATTGGATGCTTCATTGAAACGCAAACGGTATCCCCCAAAAAGTTATGTTACACTTTAATGAATAATTTCGTCAGAAATGATCGATCGTTCGCATCGTGATTTGGTCAGAAATATAAATAAATTCCACATAAACTACGAAATTTCTTACTACTTTGTTTTGAAATAATTCACATTATCCTTATAGTCAGATACTCACTTTCCATTCAAATAATTCGTCAAACCCTGTTTGAACGAACTTGTAGTAAGGAAATGATCCATCATCCTTATTATAGAAGCACCTGTTCGAACATCAACATCATCGTTTGCTTGTATAACATTATAAATAACTCGAAGTATCGTTAATACCTTTTGCGTAAGAAATGTCGTCGAAAATTTCACTGATTTCATCAGGATGTCCGACTTTGATGGATATCGGATGGGAAGATTCTAACGCGTCCAAACCAAAAACATTTTGCAGGTCGTGAACAACGAATTGCTCAAGAACCTTCCACGTTGGTTCCACCTAGAAAATCAAACCGATGGAATACGCGAAGAAACTTAATAATCCGTTCGAAGCACGTAACAAGACCAGTACAGAAACATTAAACAAGGGAAAATTAAAGAATGCGTATTATATTATTTTATTCGAAATATTCTGATATTATTGTATCTTTTATGTGAGAGTTAGCAACTTACTGCATTCATACCGATGTATTCTACATAACTAGCAAAGCCTTCGTTCAACCAAAGATCTGACCACCAACTTGGAGTTACCAAGTTTCCAAACCATTGATGAGCAAGTTCGTGAGCAATTACAGTGGCTACTCGGTGCTGATTGCTACTGGTTGAAACACCTTCTTGGTACAGCATAGCAGTTTCCCTGAAAATTAAGTGATATCACCTATTAAACATTTTATTTACACAGAATTATACAGGGTGAGTCAGGAAACGTGGTAGAACCGGGCAGAGGGTGATTCTACGTATAAAAATAAACCGGAAATAGAGAATAAAGTTTTTTCCTTGGAAGCCTCGTTTTCGAGAAAATGGAGTTTCAATATCCTATCGAGTGTACGCGTGCACTTGACTATCTCCAGCAGGGCCGTATTTACCATAAGACGCAAGGCGTATTTACCATGAGGCCTCGCTCTCTATGAGGCCATATTTTAAAACGTTACTCGTCACAAACAACGATATACGAAACAGCCTAGTTATAGTTGCAAAATAAAATACCTCTTTTTAAATATTAAACTCATAATATAAAAACAACTTTTAGTTATTAATTTTTTTAATATGAAGGGTCTAGCCGAATAAGCGTGGTAAAAGTGCTCCTAAACCAAATGAAACGTGTGATACGTCAATTGGAAGAGCTTCCTAGGAAAACCATTTCGACAAAGTTTTAGCCCCCTACCCCTATTATTAAGGTAGTTATCGACCTAAACATCACTTTCATTTCATACTTCATTTCTTTCGTTCTATCCGATAAAAAATTATGAAAAAAATCTAAGATACTCTAGCATACTTTTAAAATACACCTGCGATATACGAGCCACTGAGAAGCAAAAGTGACTAACTCCATCAAATTGAATTTATTAATTTTTCTTTACTTACGAAGAGTTCAGCATCAAGCATGTGCTTCGATACTAAAATTGAAAGAATTTCAAAAAGTGGAGTTAGTCATTTTGACTGCTGAGTGGCTCATATGTAATTTATCCATCGTAAAAACTATCGTTGATCCCACTCACCTGCAAGTAATTAGTCCCCAGTTCTCCATAGCTCCTGCAGAAAAGTCAGGTAAAGCGACGGTGTCCATTTTCGGTAAAGGGAACTTGATTTTGAAATAATCCTCGTAGTACTCGAGTATCCTCGGGCCAATATTCAAAGTGTAGCGCGATTGTTCGATAGCCTCGTGACGTGCCCAGACTCTGAAGTTTCCAGATTCGGATTTCAACATCTCGAAGTCGGAAACAATGAAAGCCACCAAGTATGTAGACATGGGTACTGAACGTTCGTAATGGTCCCACACGTACGACGGTAAACCAGGCCTGATCAAAATCAATAAAAGATACTATAAAAGTAATACTATAATAATAGTAAGTATATAGGTATAGGTATATAGGTATAAGTAATAGTAGTATAATAATAGTAAAAAGTAATTTTATAATAAAAGTTATAAAAGTAAACTATACATGTGTTTTAAACATATTTAAAATTTTTAATTTACTCTATCAACCAAAAGTTTCGGACCACTTGCCAATTTACACCAATATTGAATCTGCTACTAATTCTTTACAGAAATTCGAAATTGATGTTGTGGAGATAAGTGACAATTTCAGTGATAAAAAATTCCTAAAATCGCTAACATTTTTCTAGAAATTTTTGTGTATCTTGCAGTACATAGTGGTCAAAAACTTTTGTATGAACTATCCAAAATTATACGGCTCAATTTGGAAAAAAATCTCCAATCACTTTACACCTGGTATACATTTGAAGCTAATATCTCAGACTGCCAGTCAAATCATCTCGTTTAAAAAAACTGAAATTTTCTAATTTTCTATTTTCACTTCTTACCTTACCTAGAAAGAATAAACAATCGTATAATCAATGTTTAACTCGTGTGGAATTTTGTAACGTATAAATATAACCATAATGGAACAAATGGCACTCTGTTGTTCCATCTTCTTTTAATCGCGTAGGAATTTTCTGACAACTTGCGAGTTTTATTACGAGATCTAATGAACACAAATGGTACAAAAACAATTAATTCGAGCGACACATCTCGTACAAACAAATTGATTATATAATTGATGAACGCAGTCTTTACTGTGGTTCTAGAAATTACCTCTAACTTCAATTTGCGCAAATAAGAGGAGTGTTACATCCGTCTTATGTTAAATTGCCAGTTATGTACGCGCTTAATGTGTTTTGTCAAGAAGATATCGTGTAATTACCAGTTGAAAAAATTGTTTATACGGCCGGTTAGATTTGAAAAATTGGTTCAATGCGTTACCAACATTCTTCAAAATAATATTCTTTAAAGTAAAATAAAAAAATGTATAGAAATTGTATTTCTGTAATATCTTTGATACACGCTTCAATTTTAAATATCACTGATGTTAATTCAGCATTTGATAAGATTTGAGATATCGACAGTGTACCAAAAGTATCTATAGAACTAAGCAAGTGTTTTTAAAGAGTACACATAACCCCTTAACGTATGATTTCTTTTCTGACTTTGCATCTAAGCGTCAGCCATTTAATATTTTAGTACTGTATCAGGTAATAAAAGCTGATTTGTTACAGATTGATTACATTTAGTAATCCTTAGTATTGCGAATTAAAACGAATATTAGGATTACAATGAATTTTTCTCACTAACATAACTATTTTTCTCACATTTTGATTAGAATTTCTGCCACGAGTCTGACACGTTGGTATAGGCTAAAGAAACACTATTTTGATATTCTTAAAATTGAATTAAAAATTGAAAATGTTAAATTGGACATGAAAGTTAGTAACGAATCATATCGAACGAGACAATTTTGTTAACTCTGCAATAAGAGTATCATTAACGTAACTACGGCAATATACTATAAATGACTGAAGTCATTTTGAACTTACTAAAGTTTCAAAAGATTTAAAATTGAGAAACCTTAAAGACTTTTATGATAGTAATATACAATTACTGTAGTTTCATATTCAAAAGTGTATTGAAAATATAAAATATTTATAAATTTTTTAGTTTTAAATAACATGATTTAATTATGTTTCATCAAAGTTATTGTTTAGATAGAATTGACCTATCTAATCATATTGAGAAATTTTAAATATTTCTATTGTTTTAAAAAATATGTAGAATAGTTAAAGACGAAGAAATAAATATGAAAATAAAAATAAACACTAAACTTACGTGTTTCGAAATTTCATATCGAAGAGATTTGAAGTGAAACGTGTATTTTCATTAAGAAAGCATTTCCGTTAAGCAAAAGGGAGCGAAAGGTATGTTTTCCTTTATCTCGCAGAATCTCATGTTAATAAAGTATTGAAGTGTAAACAGAAAATTACCATATTCATGAACTATTAATTAAATATGTACATACAAAATAAACTCCAAGCACATTGTACACTTGTTACCTACAAGTTACAAGTTACTACCTGTGTATGTTAAAAGAACTTATACCAGTATCAAATTTCAAAGTATAAATTTATACGAATTAATTCTCAAATTTGACTGTTTAAACCAAAAATATTCGAAAATTCAATCAAATTTAACAAAATATTAATACTCATCTGTAGCATAGAAATCAATAATATAGAAGAGTATAGAAAATTTTGTAAATTAAAACAAAATATATTTTAATATTTTTAAATATAAGGAGATGGAAATATCTTTCATTCCAACGCTACTCTCGAGTATCCTCGAACCCGATTGCGTTCTCATTTTCGTAAACAACTTTCTAATTTGAAGAGAAATGGGCTTTGAACGTAACGCGAGAAAAGAAGAAATCCACATATTGCCAACGTTCCTCTTGAAATTAGGAAAATATTCGAAGAAGCGAAGAACGTAAGCAATTGACTGACAGAAGAAAAGAAAACAATGGGTAACAGGGTTAATTTCATAAAACGGTCTAAACGATCTATTTTTATTCCACAGTTGACCCGACTACTGCGAGAACGCTCGAGGATCTGCAAGTAAGTAGTCAAGGCAACGTCAATTTATGAAATACTCGAACCGTATCGCGTGTCGTATGAAATCGTTGCCTCTCCGCAGGCGTAAATACTACAAGAGACCTAATCACTCACACTGGCATAGGCTCCCCCTTTCTAGGCATGTTCGAGATGGACGTCATGTTCTTCGGCCGCGCGATGCTGATCTGGAATCTGGCTTTCAGTGCTGGCTCGTCGAAGCATGGAAAAGCACGTCGTGCATCTGTTGGCTGGAATTGCGTCGTCGCGATCCATCTGCAATACAAAACGCAGGAATAATTTACAGCAGGATAACTATTAAGTAAACGCCCGTTAGATGCAACGAGTACAGCTGTCAAGGGAAGTTCATGACTCATGATAAAATATTAGGTCATCCTGAAAGTTTCCGCGATTTTAAACCGTTCATTTTGAAAAAAAAACGTAACTTCGTTGAAACTGAATATTTTAATTTGAAATAATTTTGATTATGTTCGATACATTTTTGCCAATGTATCACAAGAGCAATAATTCCGTGTATGTAAAAATTCGAGTCTCTAAGTCTGAGAGTTTGAGAGAACGAAAGATACCAAATGAATTTGCCCGATCCAAACCTAGTTTACCCCCGAAAATTACGGAGGTAATTTGCTAAGTTTCTTAAGACCAGGTACCATTGTCACTGTATTGTCGTACAATAACGAATTGGAGGTTGTCTATCAAAAACTGGGGGTACAGCAACCGAGTTTTGTCAACAGAAGAAGCTCTATCCTTTTGCATGAGAACGCCAGATCGCAGAACTATAGAAAAATTACACCAATTGGATGTTGAAGTTCTACCTTATTCCTCTGATTTATCTCCAACCGATTTTCACCTTTTCCGCTCTACTGACAATTTCCTTACGCAAAAACTCTGCTTTGAAACTATGCGTTTATCTACTCGGTAGAACCGAATCGTAACACTGGAGGCCATTTCAAAGGTATGCCATTATACCAACTGCATGAGCTACTACGATCGCTATGTCTGTAGTAAGAAAGAACATTTGACTGTAATTCATGCTCGCTTCAATTTTGACGAACTCTTCTCGCTTGGAAAAATCCACCGTGTTGATTGTCGCTTATTTTCCGGTTTCTAATACTAAATCCCTTACGTCACCTGTTACCATGCTGGATACTGTATTAGTCTAACCTTGGTAACATTTTCTTGCACCAATATGAATGTTGGGAAATGTCGAAAGTACACTGCCATTCGTAAGTATTAGGACACCCATTTTCAACGAGAAAAAATGCTACGCGAGAACAGTGAATCCTCTTATTACTCAAATGCATAACCCTAATAAGTTATTACCCTAAGACAATAAGTCACCCCTAAAATATTTCCCACTCATTCTGGGACACCCTGTATATCTATCAGTCGTCAGAAATTGACATCGAAGCATTAATTGTAAGATCAAATTTAATATATTTATTTTAAGAACAATTTGCATCTTAACGAATCAGCTATTAGCTAGAACTGTCGTTTAATGAAGCAGTTTAACCTTAGTACGAAAATTAAGTCAATTTGACCCAAAATAAAGTCACCGATTCTCTTTTCTCTGTTATGAAATGTATCACATGGACTGAAACTTTTTCACATCCTTAAATATCTAATAAACATTGTTCATCTTTACAAAAAAGAACAACATTTGTACGATTCTTTTAATAGAAACTAATTATATATTTCATGTACATTTATAGAATTTATGGGTCACTTTGATCCAACAGATGCAGTAAGTGGGTTTGGTGATTGTGACTTTGATGATCTTTTGTTATACTTCTTCTGTTGCATATTCTCTTGTCACGGACGCAATATATTCTTTTGTTTTCCGTAATACAACCATCACGAGTTCAGTTCTAGTCTTCTAAAGATCGGTGCAGCACGTTATTCTTTACACTCGAAATAGCTTCATAATATAATTTGATTTTCTACAATGGCATGCCAACAAACGGTATGTATTTGCAACACCTATTTTTATTTCTAGTAGTACTTGTAATTCGATAAACAACAAAATTTATAGTATTATAGGTGAAGATATGTTTGACGATGTGACTGATATAGAAGAAGTTTGTGTAAAAGGGACAGAAGTAGGTGAAGAAAGTTCAGATTTCGAAGAAAGTTTAGACAGCCTTCCTTTAAACGAACGCAATAATTCTAGATACTATAAACCAAGAGACAACTCTAAATTATGGCGTGCTCATGCAATATCTCCAAGTGGCTGAACGCGAAAGGGAGACATTTTATCGCCGCGCCTGAGAATCGGCAAGGCAAGCGGCAATATTTCATATTACATAATCTCAATATAATATTAAAACTATATCATACGAGTACAATAAATTATTACGATATTAAATCTGATCGTTAAATGAACTGAGTTGTATTTTTTTATACTCATCTCTTGTAAATATACGATATTAGGTCAATTTGATCGAAATTTGCTTATTCGTGAAAATTTAAAAATTTAATTTAATTTAAATTTAAAAATTTAACCC